TTTTTTCTTTGGTCTAATTAAGATCACGAAACACCAAAACAAGATAATTTGGAGAAACAACTGAATGAAATTAATAATCAAATAGCAGCAGTCAGTGAGCTAAAAATACAAATTTTCTGACGGTCGAAAGCACAAATTCTCTTGGAAAATCACAAAAAGAGCGTGTTAAAATACAAAAAAACTTAAACGTTTAAAATCAGTTGCAGCAGCACAAACAAAATTTCGAAAAATCAAAAAGGCAAAAATTGAACGTGCTATACGTGATAATCCGGAACTAGCAAAACATTTAGGTTCAATATCTCGTCCGCAAAGTGGAAAACCTCGTCTTGAAGAAACAAATTCGGGTTTGCTAGGTAAAAGATACTTGTATTAAAATCAGTTGGGTTTTATGGCATAAAAAACCCTTTTTTCGTATGTTGTCATTCTTGAACTAGCTAATGTTGGTGTATCGGCTGCCGATCCTCGAAGACGATCTAATGTGATTTTGCCGTGCCTTACATTAGATGATTTGACGGAAAAGCTGCATGACCGTGGCTTTACCATAAGTCGATCAGCCACCTATTTACGGTTTGCTGTTTAAGAAAAGACAGACTCGCAATAGTGCTCAAAGTGTTTGGAGCACGGCTTCTAATCTATTCTTTCTAAGGACTTGACCTCGTTTGTGACCTTTTTCCATCTGTTTAGTTTACTACCCAGACGTCCGAATTCTATTGATGGAAAACGGCAAGTACAAACTGTGCGGGTACGTCTTGTTCGAGCACAGAATTCAGAACATCATCTCGATCAATATTTCACAACAACAACAATTGGGCACTTAAAAGCTTTAAGTGGCTTTTTAGGGCCAAATTCTGTGTTCTATTTATCTCAAGACGATAAAGCAAGAATACCGCTAGGTCTGCCAGCGGCAAAAAAGCAGTCACCTCTATTGATGAGGTTAGACTATAAAGTCACTTTGCCTGATCACGACTGGGTGGTAGCAAAAGGACATAAATTAATACCATCGGGTACCTAGAATGATTATTCTTTTGACCTCAGCTATTTAAACATACTAAAATTTTTATGTTTTCTAGTATATGGTGCATGTCTTATTAGTGACAAAAAAGTAGTTACGTACAGTGGGCCTACGTTCGTAGCCATTCGTTCAGCTTTACATGATTCAACAACAGCTTCCTCATATTTACACGATCTTCGTACTTTATTACAATTAGATGAGTTTGAAAGTGTTGCAAAGTACGAAAATGCTGTAAAACCGATTGTTATTTTGTCTGTTGATGGTGAGAAAAATGACGCTAAAGCAGCTATATAAAAATATTTGTCTGAAAGTGCTCTTTTTGGATAGGTGAACTAGATGAAAATCCTAGATTTCCAAAAACTTTAGCAGCTGGAGTTACATTATTTAAAGAAAATAATCTCGATTGTCTCTTTGTTGTAACGAATGCGCCGGGTAGATCAGCATTTAATCATGTTGAAAGACGAATGGCGCCGCTATCAAATCAACTTACTGGTGCGTACTGCTTTATTTCCCTTCTCTCGTGAAACTCAGCATAAACTTTGTGTTTAGGGTTAATACTGCCACATGATTTTTATGGCAGTCATTTAGACGATAATGGTGAAACGGTTGACGACATTTTAGAAATTCGAAATTTTGAAAGAGCAGGTCGGCCACATTTTAAAATCTTCTGTAGTATTTCACTTCTCTAGCCCTATATATAGGCCATACGCTTTGTGAAGTATGGAATGAACTGATAAAATTGATGATCATCCGGTCGTAGCTCGATATGAACCACCACCAGATCACGATGATGACGAGCTAGCAATGGTACATGTTAATTTACAGTGGTGTGCAAAACATGTGCAGCAATCACAGTATCTTCTTCAAATCGTTAAATGTAACGATTTGAAATGTTGTAAACAATTTCGTTCAAGTTATAATATCATTTTTGGTCAAAGGTTTTTACCACCACCTCTACCATTTAAACATGAAAAAATGAGTATGAGTATCGATAAATGTAACTTACTCCCTCTTATAAAGTATCTGTGTCCTTATTTAGCTATAGTTGCTGCCAGTTTTGATGATAAAGAGGGCCGTTTTGTTTCTCTGTTTGAACAGCTACAACTGAACAGTATTATTCCAGTAACAGTCTACAAAGATATGCCTTATGATTGTTATTTACCATCAGTACAAGAAAATCTGCCAAAACGTATTTGTGAAAAATGTAATCTATATTTCCCGTCAGCGGCTAGTGAGTTTCTCTTTCGGTCGTTTGCCTTTTGAGGATATATCGATTGATTTGTTTACTTTTCTGATAGGTGTAACACGTCATAAAAAGTTACATTCAGCAAAATATATTCAAAAGCAGCTAATTATTGATCTAAAACAGGCTGATGAATTTGAAGAGAGCAGTGAAGAAGAGATGGACAGTGATGATGATATAGCTGGAGATGCGTTTGGTGATAAAAATATTAATTTAAAGCCAGCTTTAATATCAAACTTTTCTGCTTGGCTAAAATCTGATCTTATCGCTGACACACAAGAAGAAGAACAGTAAAAAAGAGAACCGTCAGCTAGTTTAGTTTTTGATATTTTTGTAATAGGCTTTTTTCAACAGTAGCTTTCTGTTTCATTTTACTTCAAACTACAGTCTGCATATTACATGTATGAAACATTCTACCATTAATAGCTAGTTTTGCGTTTAGAAAATAGTATATTTCAGTTTGTAATCATTTTTTCGTTGAAAAAGTGCTAAATTTGCATTTTTTCGTCATCGTAAAAATTTGGGATGGGGGGGGGACCGAAAAGATTACATAATCAAGAGGGTGGTTTCTAAAAGATTACCAATGATTACATAGGGGGGAGGGAGGGTTGAGAAATGATAAAAAATTGATTACGTAATATGTGGATGGTCCCAGGGGCCATACACATATTACATAATCAACTGAGGGGGGAGGGGGAGTTTAGAAAAGATTACGAAAGATTACCAAGGGGAAGGAGGGGGTGACTCGTTGATTATGTAATCAATTTGTTACTTTTTTTTATTTCACCTGTCACAAAATGGTTGAGTTGGTTGTAGCGGTCGTTTCGAGGCGATATACGAAATAATGGCAGAATTAAAACCAATCAATAGAGTGATGTTCTTTGTTCTGTTCTGTAAGACTAATGATTGGTTTGAGATAGGACTGTTGTTGTTTCTTTTTGATATGCGCTGAGCGTAGAAGAAATTGTAAAAAATAAACTTATTTGTGATAGTTCCTGTCATGGAATTCAAGAAAAAAGCAAAAACAGAGAAAGAAATCTTGTATGACCGCTTTATTAATGCCTATTTGGCTCTCAAATCAAATAGCCAAACAAAACAAGTATATATCAATGCAACTAAACCTACTTTCACATAAAAAGACGTCGTTCTTTTTTCAGCGTGCTTTACAGGATGGACAGACAAAGTGGAAGGCGTATGCTTTTCCTGTAAATAAAGATCTCATCGAACAGGAAATTGATCGAATGAGTCTGTTAGTCAAGTCAAAAGCATCCCCTCTGCTCTCCTATTTTGCAAAGAAAACGGATGAGAGTAATAACAATAGTGTAACAACTTCAGCAACAGCTGCTAATGACACAAACATGCCTCTTAGCGAAAAAGAAAATCGAAACCCTGTTTCTTCATTTCCTATTTCTTCGTGTTCATGTTTATCTTCCAAAGATGTTACCGCAGCTACTGTCAGCAAAAGTAGGGTCTAAGTTCTGCTACTAATAATCATTGCTAAATTTTTTGTTTTTTCTTTGGTCTAATTAAGATCACGAAACACCAAAACAAGATAATTTGGAGAAACAACTGAATGAAATTAATAATCAAATAGCAGCAGTCAGTGAGCTAAAAATACAAATTTTCTGACGGTCGA